TTAGTATTTTTGATCCATGGTTTGAGTATTTTTGATCCATGGTGGATGTGGAACCCACAGATACAAAAGGCCCATTTTTGTTACTCATGCATCAGAATCAGTCGGCTTCTGCAGGGCAGCCTACTCTCAATTCCCAGCAATTTCTACAGCAGGGCTTTTGGTGACAGACATGGCTTTGATTGTTGGTTCTGTCATTCAAAGTAGTTGTTAATTTTAAGCAAATGACAGTTAAGTAACCCTCTGATCCCTGGTTTTCTTATCTGTAAAGTTAAACTAATAATACTGTCTATCTTGTAAGGTTGTTGTGTTAATAAAATGAGGTAACCCATGAGACTGCCTGGTGTACAGTAACCCCTCAGTGAGTATTAGCTGCTGCCGCTATTGTGATTATTGTTGTTGTTGTGGCTGATACCAGTTGTGGGAAAAAGAATAGATCTATGGATAACTGCTTCTCTAAATTGGAATATCAGAGTCTGCTGATGAAAATCAGCTGCATGCTACAGTCGATCAGGGCACTTCTTCCTGCATCGAATCAAAAAGGTTTACCCAACATTAGATACATGATTGAGCAGTTTGTCTTGTTTCTCATATGGATGTTGATGCCACAAATTTCTACAGATGGGTTCAGGTTCCATATTCTGCTTTTTGAGACTGTCCCTAGTCTGAGCCACTGTTCCCCAGTGTGACCCTTTGCCCTCTCTTATTTATGTCATCACTTATACAGCCGAGTCACCCATGTTCTCATCTGAGAGCCTTTGCCCATGTTGTGTCTGCCAACATGGCTTCTCTTGTCCATTCTACTTGCCAAGTCCCATATCTTCTATGAAGGTGGAACTCTGGGTCAGAGCCCATTCTTTTCCTTTATTTCTCATAGCACATTGCAAGACAGAGTTAGCACTCAGTAGTAACACCTTAAATAGCATTAATCCATTTCAAAGGCCCTGTATTTTCTTTCTTAGATATAACTTATCAGCAACCAAGACTTACAGCATGGTATGGAGAACTTCCTTACACTTATTCAAGAATCACTATGGAACCAAATCCTCACGTATGTCAAAATACTGTATTGTCATTGGTATAGTTTTATAGACTATATACTGTGTGTTGAGTGCTATAAAATAACTACCTTGCAGAGATGCCTGCTGGTTCCTAGTTCAGAAAAACTCTCTGGGTTGAAGCATTGAGTCTTTGTGCTTGTCATCCTCCATATGCTTTTGATCTACAGATGAACTAGAGAATGAGAAAAAAACTAGAACAAGAGTAAGCTAAACCAGAGTCTAGGATTTCAGGAAAGTGAACTACTTCTCTTAATATCCCTCTTTCCCAAGCTTTTCTGGCTGTAATCCTTCTGTGTACACCCTGGTATGCATTTGCTGTGGGGCTGAGTCCTTATGACTGGCTAGTGAGGTCAGTATGTCTCTTTCTGTTTCTCGGGCTCTTTGCTATTTGTGAAAAAAAAAAAAAAATCTAGTGTTTTTCTTGTTAACTTGTATTCATTCTATGGCTGCAGTTCTCAGACTTCCAAATGATTACGGCTTTGGCTTGTTTCTGCTGCTGCTTTTGTTTTTAAAAAATTTCCATGACAGTAGACGAAGATATCCTAGTATATAAATTAAGCTCATCCAGGGGATGGAGGTAAAGTCCAAGAAACAGCTCCCTGTTTAGTTCCTGGAATCTTGCCTTTGGCAAATAACGTTATGTTTTATTGAAAGAGACTTTGGAGAAAATGGAGTTTTTCTTATGGTATTGGGATATACAGAAATGTAGCACATTTCAGAGCTTCTAGAAATTTGTAATCACAAGCTACCACTTTACTAAAATGTTCAGGGAGGAAACATTGACTGAGGGAACATGGCTTTTTCACATAGGGAGACAGCTGTATGCTTTGCTTTCAAGGGCTGCATTTAGAATGTGATCCAGGGAAGTGACGAGACCTTTTCTATCTGAGGTTGATTTGGAAACATGGAGATTATGGAATTAGACCAGTCCAACATAGCCTGTTTTCCTTGTTTCTATCAGAATTAATTTATCTTCTTGTCAGTAGTCATAGCAGAGAATCTGAAGATTAAATGGGCTATGGGGAAGTTCTTATTCATTCTAGTTAATTTTTTAGAACAAGATCTCTCAGCTTCAGCAGTATTGCCCTTTTGGGCTGGATAATTCTTTCTTGTGGGTCTATCCTTTGCGTTGTAGGATGTTTAGCAGTATCCATGACCTCCACCCACTAGATGCCAGTGGCACCCCTCACCCAGTTGTGACAACCAAAACCAACTCAAGACATTGGTAAACATCTGCTGGGGGGCAAAATTCCCCCGGTTAAGAACCACTGGGAATAAACACAAAGCACATAGGATCTGCTGAGTAAAGTAGCCTCTTATTGTCTCACACTTTGGAAACATTTTGACAACTCTTCAAAATAATTTATGACAGTCCTTTTTAAAAAATGTTATTAGTATGTGCTTGTTATTGAAGATTTAGAAACTTCAGATAAACATGAAAAACATTAAAATTCTTGATATTTCTACTACCTGATATTTTAGTTCCAATCTTGTTATTTTAGACAAATATACTTAGAGAGTCTTTTTTCTGTAAAAATAAAATAGGCCAGGGTGGTGGCTCATGTCTATAATCCCAACACTTTGGGAGGCCAAGGTAGAAGGATCACTTGAGGCCAGGAGTTCATAACCAGCCTGGGCAACATCGTGAGATGCCTTGTCTACAAAAATTTCAAAATTAGCCGGGTATACTGGTGCCTGCCTATAGTCCTAGCTACTCAGGAGCCCGAGGCAGGAGGTTCACTTGAGCCCAGGAATTTGAGGTTACAGTGAACTATGATCACACCACTGTCCTCCATTCCAGCCTGGGAGACGGAGTGAGACCCTGTCTCAAACACACACACACACACTACATTTCATTTAACTATAAAAGCTCATAACTTTTTTATTGCTGATATATTTAGTTCATTTATATATTATATTGAACAAAAAAGAGTTGCCCTTTCTCAGATTTTTATTTATTTTCATTTTAAATTTAAATATAGGGTCTTGTTATGTTGCCCAGGCTGGTCTTGAACACCTGAGCTCAAGTGATCCTCCTGCCTCAGCTTCCTTGAATAGTTGTGATTACCAGCCACACCCTGGTTTCTCAGATTTTTTTAAAGGAGGATTCACTAATGTGTGTGTATATGTATGTTGGGAGTACTTGTTTAGCTTAAAAATTGTCGTTACCTGAAGCTTGATATCTCATACGGAGTAGTTTCAGTCATAGGCCTTTAATCTTGTTTTAGTTTTTGTTTGAACTAAATCTCATATGAACCCAGTGTATAAAACAGATCGCAGCTTGGCTGGCTGGGAGTCCCACCAACTTGACCTCTGCTTTCTTCTCCTGTACACCTAGAAGTACCACTGAGGTACCTAGAACTCTATACAACACTGTTTGAAATCCACTGAATAGCTCCTTTTACTTCTGTGATTCATATTTTTTGTATGCTTTTCCTAAAATGTCTTTTAAGGATACAGTGTCTTCACTGAGTGAGATAATGCTGAATTTTAATTTAGACATTCAGTTCGGAGGAATCTGTATATAGAGTATTCGTTGGAGAGTCTAAATTAATCCTCTAGTTCATTATCCCCCTTTTTCTTCCTTTTCTCTCTACTTCACTACCAAAAATAACCGAGAAAAAAAAATACCTACTTGGAAACAATGCAAACTTTATGTTATCGCAGTACTGAGTCCTTAAGCAATTCAGGGAAGTGCTAATTAGATTCTCAGTGACATTGTAGAAAAAAATCCTGTCTTCCTCCTTTACATTCTTGTTTTTCTTGTTAAGTGTGTAATTCTAGCATCTGATCTTTATCTCCATGAAGATAAATTTAAAGCTGTAAAGTAAATAGGAAATACAGCCTGCTGACATTATTATTGGAATTTCACTTTGAAATTTATTTTCTTGAACAAAGATTAATTTAATATTTTTGTTTTATGAGGGTGGATCTCATGTTATATATTTTTCTACCACAATAAAAAGGAGAACAAGAGATACAGAAACTTCCAACTTTCAGAGGCTTCCCATGTCTCCCCAGGTGTCCCATTGACCAACTGTTTGTTTTTGTTGCTGTTTATTTTTTTAAATCCCCTGCTTAGAATATAATATTCTAACGTAATATCCAGCACAAGGAATTCCAACTTTAACCATGGTTTTCGCATCAGAGTAAAGCTGAGTGATTCTTATGTAAGCCTCCGTGGCAGTTTTACCTGACAATAACCATGGGATATTACTCCTTTGCTGCACATGAGTTTCTTCACCATGAAACATATAACATGGTATAGTTTGGCTGTGTCCCCATGCAAATCTCACCTTGAATTGTAATAATCCCCACATATCAAGGGCAGGGCCAGGTGGAGATAATTGAATCATGGGAACAGTTTCCCCCATACTGTTCTCGTGGTAGTGGATAAGTCTCATGAGATCTGATGGTTTTATAAATGGAGTTCTCCAGCACATGCTCTCTTGCCTGCCACCATGTAAAATGTGACTGTGCTCCTCCTTTGCCTTCTGCCATGATTGTGAGGCCTCCCCAGCTATGTGGAACTGTCATTGAACCTCTTTTTCTTTGTAAATTACCCAGTCTTGGGTATGTCTTTGTTGGCAGCACGAGAACAGACTAATACAATAGACATTCAAGGAGTTCCCTAAAGTAGCAGTTCTTAAGTTCTTAGAGTATAATCTGGAGATCCTGGGAAAGGGTTCCCGAAACCTTCTTTGGGAATCTACAGCTAAAACTATTTTCATAATAATACTAAGTCCATATGGTGTTTTCACTGTGTTGGATTCCACTGATGGAAATGGTGGATGAAGCTGCCAGCACCTTAGCACGAGTCAAACCATGTCACCAAACAGTACTAGTAGTCACTGTGTTCCTCGCCATCATGTCCTTCCAGTGTCAACTTTTAAAAATGCCAGTTTCATTTAAGAATGTCTCTGGATGAAGTAGTAAACATTATTAGTTTTATTAAATCTTGGTCTTTGAGTGTGTGTCTTCCGAATAGTCTTCCTGATGAAATTAAAAGTATGCCTAAAGCACTCCTGCTGCAAACTGAAGTGTGATTGTTTGAGATGTAAGCTGAACTAGCTACTCTTGTTGTGGATTGCTTTTACTTAAAATACAACTGGCAGACCAACTGTGGTTATTCAAACTTGGGTAGTTGGCAGACATTTCCTCATAAATGAGTGAAGTGAATGTCACTTCAAGGAAAACAATGGACAAGATTTTTTACTAACGATAAAAGTTGAGTTTTCAAGCAAAAATTAGAATTTTGGAAAACTGGTATCTGCCACTGTATTAGTCAGGGTTCTCTCGAGGGACAGAACGGAAAGGGGATACACACACACACACACACACACACATTGCACACATATATATACACATATATACACACACATACACACACATAAATACACATACATATACACACACACATATACACATATATACACACATACACACATACACACACATATATACACATACATATACACACATAAATACACACACTCACACACACACACACACATATGTGATGTATATTAAATATTAACTTACGCGATCACAAGATTCCACAATAGGCTGTCTGCAAGCTGAGGAAGAAGGAGAGCCAGTCTGAGTCCCAAAACTGAAGAACTTGGAGTCCAATGTTTGAGGGCAGGAAGCATCCAGCATGGGAGAAAGATGTAGGCTGGGAGGCAAGACCAGTCTCTCCTTTTCACATTTTTCTGCCTGCTTTATATTCATTGGCAGTTGATTAGATTGTGCCCACCAGATTAAGGGTGGATCTGCCTTCCCCAGCCCACTGATTCAAATGTTAATCTCTTTTTGCAACACCCTCACAGACACACCCAGGATCAGTAGTTTGTATCCTTCAATCCAGGCAAGTTAACACTCAATATTAACCATCATAGCCACTTTGAGCCTGACTTCTTCCCATTATTTAGGCTTTTCTGCTGAGATCAGTGGTAATATTGTTGAATGAGAAATTTTTTTGTTATTGTATAATGAAGTGCATCAGCATTTAGAAGATCTGTATAACTTAGTGAACTAATATTTTCCAGATGACCAGTGGTTGATGTTACAAAACCATACAAGGTTAAAGATTCATTCAAATTGCAGGCTGGACCAATGGCTTTATTTATTTTTTATTTAAAGCATTTTTTTTTTAAGAGATACTGGGTCTTACTCTGTTGCCCAGGCTGGAGCGAGCACAGTGGCTCAATCCTAAATCACAACAGTCTTGAACTCCTGGGCTCAAGTGATCCTCCTGCCTCAGTGTCCTAAGTAGCTGGGACCACAAACATGGGCCACTGTGCCTGGCTAAAATTTTTACAAATATTTTTTGTAGAGGGGGACATCTTACTTTATTGCCCAGGCTGACAGTGCATTTATATAAAAGAATATGAAAAGTTTGAAATGGTTTCAGTTTCCACATTGCAACTAACCTTTAACGAATCAGCCATTTGTTGAGTTTTGGTATAATATCAAAGAAGAATATCTACAGTTATTTGAAAAGGCTGTAAACTACATACCTGTGTGAAGCCAATTTCTTTCATATACTTCAATAAAAATAACTTATTTTAACAGATTGAATGCAGAAGCAAATATGAGAATCAGCTGTCTTCTATTAAGTTAGATGTTTAAAAGATTCGCAAAACAATGTCACCCTTCTCATCTATTATTCAATTATTTGTATTGGACATTATAGTTACTTTTCATAAAAATATTGATGTTAACATGTAATCAATTTGTCATTGCATTTTTTTTTTGAGACAGAGTCTCGCTTTATCACCAGGGCTGGAGTGCAGTGGCACGATCTCGGCTCACTGCAATCTCCGCCTTCCGGGTTCAAGCAATTTTTCTGCCACAGCCTCCCAAGTATGTTGTAGGTGGGACTTCAGGCGTGCACCACCATGCCCAGCTGATTTTTGTGTTTTTAGTAGAGATGGGGTTTCACCATAATGGCCAGGATGGGGTTTCACCATATTGGCCAGGCTGGTCTTAAACTCCTGACCTCATTGATCTGCCCACCTCAGCCTCCCAAAGTGCTGGGATTATAGGTGTGAGCCACCATGCCTGCCCTTTCATGTAATCAGTAGTTGAAATTTTTTTCAGTTTTAATTTTAAATATGGTAAAAGCTGATGGCTGTAACCAATATAAACAAATGTTCTTTGGGCTTCTCAATAATTTCTAATGTAAACTTTGAGAACCATTGTTCTAAAGGAAGCTTTGTAAAGTACTCAGGATTTCTGGGAGAAAAGACAGAATTCCAGCAAGAACCAGTATAAGGTATGTTGTTTGTAGCTCCCAAGTACAATCTAAGGTTAGGGGCATAGCTTCCCGTGGTATACATGGCAAAAGAGTTCCAAATATGAATTACATCAGTGAAGCCAGTGCCCAGGAGACAGGGCCGTGTCTTTTGTCGTTGACAGCTCATGCACTTGTCGGGAGCATATCATGATTCTCACTCCCTAGAAAAGAATGTTTTTACTCTTCAGGTTATGTTTTTAGGAAGTTAGCCACTCTGGAAATACTAAATGTCTTTTTTAAAAAGCAGTTCTCCCATTCAGGGTAAAACAGGAATGGAACGAACAGAGGGCCACCCAGCAGGAAAGTTGTTTCATTCCTCAGGCTTCAGTCTGGCTCTGCTGACTGCCTAGTGACATGTCAGCTTTGCTGCTCCACTTACCACCTTAATGACTTACCAAGGTTACTGCTCTGAATATACTGCTACCTGCTTCTTTGCAACGGCCATGTATTTAACATGGAAAGGGTGAGATGGGTAGATAGATTCTGGTCCTCAAGATATTGCTGTACTAAATTTAGTACTTTTATAAAATTCCAGAGATCAACTTGCTTCAGAATAGAAATGATGGGAGGGAATTAAACTACGTTTCTTGCCTTCTGTTTATTGCATTCCAAGTGGTTTGCTTGTTTCATGCCTGGTTATAACGTGGCTGATTTTGCCCTTTCTTCTGTTTTTCCATGTGGCCTCCATTTTATGTGTGATGCGACTGTCTCTGCCCTTTTCTTGGTCTGTGGATCGCAGTGGCATCCTGTGCTGCGCACACTGAAGAGCCGCATTGAAGAGAACACCGGCCACACCTTCAACTCCTTACTCTGCAACCTTTACCGAAATGAGAAGGACAGCGTGGACTGGCACAGCGATGATGAACCTTCACTAGGGAGGTGCCCCATCATTGCTTCACTCAGTTTTGGTGCCACACGCACATTTGAGATGAGAAAGAAGCCACCACCAGTGAGTATCCTCTTCCTGTCTCTTATTAGTCTGTGAAAAAAGTAGAACTCCTAAAGGCTTCTGCTTTCAGATTTAAAGCATGGGAATACACATTTTGGTGATGAAACATTTTCAAGTGATTGCTTCCCCATGGTTAACTTTTGACTTCCATAGTACTCCTTCATTCATTTATGTATCCAACAAGAATTGGCTGCCTTCTGCTAGGTGCTGGGGGCTCATTTCACTGATGGAAGGGATAAACTCCCTGTCCTCCCGGAGATACAGTCTAGTTGGGGTGGATGAATATTGCCAATTTCTCACATAATTGCAATTGTGATCAATGCTGTGAAGGAAAGCCTATAGAAGGATGACTCAAGCTAGTGGGAGGCTCAGGAAGAGGAAGGAGGCTAAGGAAGAAGCCCCTGAAGAAGCCTTTATTTTAAGTGTTCTTCATGGTAGTATGGCCAGTTTTCTGTAAGGGAGCATTACATGTATCTTTGTTTCTTCTTAGCCTTCTCCTGAAATAAAGGTGAATCTGTAACTGTTTCAGAGAAAGGAAACTCAAGCCAGATTATCAGAGGTGGTGATCTGTCCACATTCAGGTAGAAAAGCAGTGACCAGAATATTAATAACTATATAATAACTTCTGTTTCCACCCCAGCTCTTACTTAGGTTGTGTGACATTTGAGGAATACTAGGGTTATAAATTTTAAAAAAATCAGAAATGAAGCACCTCAGGACTGAGAAAGATAGTAACACCAAGCAAAGAGCAAATTATTTTATTTTCAGGGTTTGTATCTTTCTAACAAGCATTCCTGATCATTCAGCTTACAACGTTAAACCAGACCCAGTCAGTGTGGAAGTCCAACCAACGGGCTGTTTTTTTGTTTGTTTTTTTTCAGAGACGGAGTCTCACTCTGTTGCCCAGGCTTGAGTGCAGTGGCGCCATCTCTGCTCATTGCAACCTCTGCCTCCCTGGTTCAAGCGATTCTCCTGCCTCAACCTCCTGAGTAGCTGGGATTACAGGCATATGCCAGCATGCCCAGCTAATTTTTGTGTTTTTAGGAGAGATGGGGTTTTGCCATGTTGGCCAGGCTGTTCTCAAACTCCTGACCACAGGTCATCTGCCCACCTTGGCCTCTCAAAGTGCTGGGATTATAGGCGTGAGCCATTGTGCCTGGCCCAATCTGTTTTTTGAGTAGACCTAAGCCAGACCACATCATTATTAGTCAGTGGTCATGTCTGTTCTTCATCAGATATACCTCAATAAGAATACAGTTAACAGATTGTTTTCCTGTTGTGTATTGGGTTTCCATGCATGGTATTTTTAAAGCATATTGTGTAATTTTGCATATATGCCATTAAGCACCTTTTGTTGGTATAATTTCCATTGATTAGGTTTTCTTATGTTTACATTGACAGTGTGATTATTGTTAGGGGATTGTTAGTTACCAGTGTTTTTTTGAGCGAACTTGCTTCCTAAGCGAACTTGCTCCCTAAGCCTTCAGTTGCATTGGCAAGCAGCCTTCTCATGTACCAAGGAGAATCAGACAAACCAACTTTTGCTATATTTTTTTAGATAGGATTATACTTCGGTACACAGGCCTTCACTCAGTTGAATACCAAGTTCACATGTGTGAAGAATTCATTCTGCTCTTAGTAAGACTCCTGTTATATAAATAATAGAGAAACACTGTATGTCTAATTATTTAAGTTCAGACTCTCTTCTCAAGCCAGATGTATGGGACCTCAGCTTGCTGCCAGGAGTGGTCCTAGGACTGGGGGCTGTAGCAGTGAATGAGTAAGATGAAATCATCTCTCTTCTGCTGGAGCTCATCTAGCATATGCTAGTGCTGTGCCTTAGAGTTATCCTTCTGGCCTCCTGATTGGCAAATAAGCTACAGTATATATAGCCTTTGGTATAATAATGGTTTTTAGTTCTTCACACTTACTTTCCTTGTTGCTCAGTATTTCAGTGTTTCTTTACACACATACATTCATCACCACCACCACTACCACCTTTTTTAAAAATGTGGGCCTATTTATAGATTTGGAGCTTAAGAATTCCCTAAGTGTGCTTTTTGGATAAATCATTTTACTGTACAAGCAGTTTCCAAATATTACACGTTAACAATATTCTGGTGCCCAGAAATACCCCATTTCTTCTCCCCTTCACACAGCTGAATTTCTTCATTGTCTCATATAAAGATATAATACATGGTGATCAAGAACTATTTCTTGGTAGTACACATCAGTTATGTTACAGGTAAACATGTAACTGGAGAGCATAACTACCACATACGGCATTGTTTCTGTGGGCAGCCATTTGGAACAGCGCCTTATTCTGCCGCGACCCATACTGAAGCTTTCTCTTCTCCTCAGCCTTCTTGGAGTCTATGTTGATGAACATGAATGAGAATACAGGCCATGAAGTACTTAGAAGTGGTAAAGTCCACGTAATTGTCTGCCGGTGACAAGGGAATGTGCACTGTGACGATGGTAGCTGGTTTGATTAGAATACAAATCCAATAAGAAAATTTGTCTGAGATTTTAACAAAGTTGGCTGAGGAAATGGATTTGGGAAGAAATATAAACATGTTGGTACTTCAGGTTATTCACTGTAGTAAGCTTTGGCTTCTGGCCTAGTCTTAAGTATGATTGAATTTGATGCCATTTTTGTATATCATCTCAATTCTGGCTTTTGTTTAAGATTTGGAAATTGAATGTTAATATATTTGAAATTATAATCGCACATGAGTAAAAAGTGACTTTTTTTCCCCAGGACCTGTAAGTTCCGTTTTTGTGTAAACAGGATACAAGTTTAAATTTTTGAAAAGATTCCTTCAGGTCTCAGTAACTGATTCCAGAAACCTGGGGCACTACAAATGTAGCAAACCTCGAAGTGCAGAACCCTTCTCTGTGTTGACAGCCTTGGAAATGTATCTTAGAGTGCATCATCTTTATCTTATAAATAATCCTTTTTCCCAAAGGATTGAAAGGAAGTGATTATTGCAAAATTTTGTCACTTTTCTTTATAAACTCAGCTGATGAGAACATGACTCATGATTCATACAGCCCAAGGTAAAAGCACAAACTAAAAAGTACAAATTAGATTAGTCTTCAGTGTGCGATTTGTAGGAGTCTGACTTCCTGTAACTCTTAGGGACCTATCTCGGTGTGCTACTACAGATTGTAATTTTCATGTCTGTCACTGAGACCTTCAGGGTGTATTAGAGGTTGTGGGAGGGAATCTTTCAAACTCCTATTAGCTTTGACCCATCGGAGAAGAAGCTAATGCCTATTTGACTTGAATCACAGTTTCTCAACTGAGGCGGACATGGGAGTCACGAGATTTCCTGCACTTTGTTCAAGTGTGCAGTTTTGAGACAGAAAAGCATTTGTTTTGGGCCACTTTCAAGGAGAAATAGTCTTGATTTTAAAAAAATTCAAACTCCTCCACCCTTGCAGCAGCTGTTTGTTTTGCAGTCTGGCACCGTGAGCAGATCTCCGTTAACTGCTGATCTACTGAAAGCTGCCCCAGCTCCACACACTGTATCCTAACAATTTCTCCCTGTGCTGAGATCGTAAGGAGATCTTTGTTTCGTAAGCACCAGTGCCCTCTGATTCATGCATGGGCTCAGTCAGCTTCATGTATACATCATCTCGGGGATTAAATATTTCACTCTGGGTGCCGGTTCTTTTTTTCACGGTCCTGGAGTCTAAGTCTGCCAACTGCTGCTCATTCATTTTGATTTTAGAGTAAATTACCTTTTCCTTTAATGATGTTACTGTCATTACTCGGGGACAGAGTAGACTTATTTGAGCTTGCTTTTACATTCATTCTGATTCCTTTTTTTGTTTAGTTCAAATTGAAGACTAAGTGAAGAGCATCTTATCAATATTCTGGCCGGTGTCAGGCTATATTGTCTTAAGACTGTCATAAAGATTATCAAATATCCTTCAGTAGACCTTTTTTCTTCTATCAGGCTAGTTTTATTAAAGGTTTTCTATACTTCTTGTCCCAAACCCAGTTGTACTTTTCAAACTACATTGTGTTCCTATTTGCAAAGATTAGTCTGGTTCTTTTCCCAGCTAGTTTTAATTCTATACTGAAAAAAACAAGCTGGAAAAGGAACTACAAAAGCCATTTGGCAGGCTGCTATTTCTCTGTCGGTTACCATGGAAACAGTGATGGCTGGGGGGGTGTTATTAGATAATAGCAGGAAGTTTGTGATGCACTGGAGGTTTAGATGCCAAAAGCCTTGTTTTTCTAGCAAATTACCTCTGGATAAACTGTATCCTTCATCAGCTGAATTCTGCAAATGTGAGGGGCTCCTATTCACCTCAAGGTGATTGAGCTGCAGCAGGTTGAGCCCTCTAACCAGTCCTCCGTAGCCCTCATGAATGCTGTTTGTATTGCCAGAAGAGATGGTTGTGAAAGCAAGTCTAATGGTGGAAACTGTGAGAGCACCCAATGAATTGGATGTGCTTCCCTTGCCAATTGGCTGTGGGTTTTTTGTACACTACTGGGAAAAGTAGAGTATAGAAAGGTCAGTCAAATCATAAATATTGATATTTTTTAAAGACTTTAGAAAAAAATGAAGATATTGGAATCCAAAATAATACGATACTAAATAGCTTAAATTTGGAAATCAGATAAGCTAGTACTATGCAGGATTTCATAGAGTGGAAACAGTCTCCACCTTAGCCAGCAGCCCCACTGCCGCTATTCCAGTCATCTATCCTTCCTGTTAATCCCTCTGCCGATTATAGCACCTACTCTAAGAGATGACAAGAAATGCTTGAGACTGGGCATGATGGCTCTCACCTGTGATCCCAGTACTTCAGGAGGCCAAGGTGGGAGGATCACTTGAGCTCAGGAGTTTGAGACCAGCCTGGGTAACATAGTGAGACCCTGTCTCTGTGGTTTTTTTTTTTTTTTTTAGAAACAGGGTCTCACTTTGTTGCCAAGACTGGTCTCTAGTTGCTGGGATTACAGATGTAAGCTTTTTTAAAGTAAA